TTCAACCTAAGAGAGATTGATTACTCATTTAAGTATCTATTAAAATTAAACTATATTAAGAGAAATTATTTGTGTGTTTGACAAAAATATTCCTTAAAAAAAAAAGAAAAAAAAAACTTAACACCTTAGGAGGCTAACTAACAACTTAACCTAACAAAATAATAGAATGACACAATTTGTAATTAATTAATCAATTCATACATTAGAGAGCATCCGGCTGCATGTGGTGCCGGCCGGTGCTGGGCTTCGGGTAGCATGTGGGATGATTTTTCTTATATATGTAAATTAAAACAAGATGAATAAATTACTAATTTGTTTAAAAGTAATTAAGTTTAATACTATTTTTTTTTACAAAATTGTAACAAACATGTGCTTCCGATGTTGTAATTTTATTTATTTTAAAATATAATATATCCTTGATTATTTATATTGAATTATTGCCTCTTAGCAATTAAGTTTAAATATGTTTGTATTTTATGTAAATGTTTTTTTTTTTTATCCTTATAAGAAATTATGTTTGATTTTTGGGTTCTTGAATGAGTAAATCAATATGCCTTTCAAATTTATGTTTGAGGAATTCTAAAGTGTCCGATTTAAGGAATCTATATTCATTAATTGAAGAATAAGGTACGCGAGTTATTATAAACTTTTAGTATTAACATTTCAATAGATATATAAAAGAAAACTTATAAGCATCAGAAAATTTCATGCTGACAAACACCATGTTCATTTCTTCAAGTAAGCAATCCTAATGAACACAACTATTATGTGGTAAATTTTTTTCACTAAATATTTAACTAATTATATATCTATAAAACTTAAATTAGAAATCAGTAATTAAATTAAAATAACTTTTAAATATTTAACATAATTACATATTTAGAATTTAAATTTGAAATTATTAATTAGATTGAAATAACTTGTTATTAGTTGTTCGTAGGCATGACAATCCAACCTGCTCTCATAGGTACCGCCCGAACCCGTCCCGATTTGGATGGGAAAAACCTGTGTTTATCAGGTTCGGGTTTTTTCCGATTGATAAAATCGGGGGCGGGGCGGGGACAGAGATGTTAATACCCACCTCGTCCCCGCCCCTGCCTCCGTACTGTCTCGCTTAATAATATAATTAAAAAATTATTTATATATATATATAAACCAAAATAAAAAATATTTATATATAAAAATTTATATTATTTTATTTTTTTTTATTTTTTTAAATTGTTCATATTTATTTAAAAGAAAAAAAAAAATTAAAAACGACGACGGGAACAAGACAGAGAAACCTGAACCCCGCCAGAGATGGGGACGAGGACCCAGATTTTACTCCTAGCGGATATTAGGAGCGGGAACGAGACGGTTTAAATTTGCGGGAATGGGAGGGGAATCTAAAGCCCGCCCGTTGCCATGCCTAGTTGTTCGACATGCTGGTTTGTAGTTTACTTTTTACATTTAATAAACAAATGCGTTTTTCAACCTGATACTAATTGATTGTTTAGTGTGATATAAAAATGAAGAATGGTAAGATATTAAGAAAAATAACATAAAAAAATACAAGAGGTGAAAAATTGATTAAGAGTGCAGCTTGAAAAAGTAGAGTAATAGTTCCTTTCCATTGTTGTGTGAAAAATGTTTTATTGGCCTTATTTATGGAGGAAAAAGTGATTGACAGTGGAGATAAATAGGGTAAAAAGTGGACTGGTGGAGACATTAAGGCAAAAAAACCAATCCCTGGCATCTCAAAACAAAATTTTAAATGAACATTTTAAATGATGGTGAGCATGTGTCCCCAGTCTACGAATTGGGTCCATCCCTATGCCTAGGCTGAGTAGATTATGGTGCAATAGGTCAAGAGTAGTCAACTGAACCAACGTGTCAAATAAAATGTTCACTTAATCTAGACTAATCGCCTCCCAAATTAAAATATTTCTCAACCAAAAAACAAAAATGAGAATGGTCCAAACATTGACCCCTTCAAAAAACACTTACTAGTAAAGTAAAACAACCATTGTGATACGAGAGTTCAACACACACACACACACTAATGTCACTCTTATAAATCATATGGAGATTCATACATATGTGAAGAACTATACTCCATATGGGTCTCCCTCTATCTTTTCTTAGTCACGGTCCAAAATTCTTGAAAATAGAATTTTATGAAATTACATTGATGAAAGCGAAAGTTGTAGTGCATTACTGCATGGATATAATTAATGGGTTTCATTTCAATATGAAAGCAGATTCAGTATATGCGGCTGATCAAAGCATCTGAGTGTGAAGGCTCCAAAATTCAAACCCAAAAGATAATTGTGATGACCATGTTTGAGTATAATAGAAAGTGGCTAGATACAATTAAACACATGGTGAGAGAAGTGAGCACTTGTATTATGGGGCAATATTAGCAGCCAAGGCTTGAAGATGATGCAGCATGCAATAATTACTCAAACAGAGCCATGCTCATGCAAGTGAAGAGACCATGAACTTTCCTTTTCTATAAGAGGTCCCACATATGCTCTCATCTCATGATTTGTGATTTGGAATTGGGACGACTCTCTGCATTTCCAAATGCTTTTGAACTCGATCTCTGATTAACATTTTCCAGGTAACATGCCACAACAAAAGCTGTGTAATTGAAGTTAGGGGTGGAAATAAGATGGACACAACATGATTTTTTGCTTAAATAAGTTTAGCAAATTTAAAATATTTAAAAGATACTATGTGCTTGGTTTGGTGATAGAAAACCATGGTAAATACAAAATCCAAGGTGAATTCACTGTATTTGTTGTTTCCAAAAATCATTGAGTTCAACCCACTATCAACTCAAACACACATTACAATAATCAGACCTACATGTTTATCGTATAGTTATATTATTTTATTTTACTTTTCTTAAAAAAATATAATGTTGACATGTAACAACAATTGCTAGTCGTGTATCAAGGAAAGAGGCGAGAAGAAAAATAGGTAAGTTAAGACTTTACAAGAGTCTAACTTAACTTGTTGATAGATATAAAACATAATCTGGTTTAAAATTTTGTTTTATAATCAGACTTTTAAATATGATATAACTTTATCCTCCAATAAATTAACTTTTTTAATTTGACCCTTTATTTGGTATTTTTATTATTATTATTTTTTTACATTTGACCTTTATGTATGTTACTATGCTTAATATTTCAAAAGATAAATAAATAAATTGTTTTAATACATCATAAAGAATTTAATATAATAATAATACTAACAAAAAATTATTATTCATAATTTGACCGATAAAAGACTTTTTGAATTTTAAAAAATTAGAATTTTTTTTTATCAAATTTAAGAACTTAAAACTAATGAATTAATCATAATCTATATTTATTATAAAGATGATATATTTTGGTAACTACCCCTTTAATCTCCACTTTTTAGTGGACTATTATACTCCTTAAAATGTAAAAAAAAAAAAAAAAATCTTATATTTTTTCTAAATAACTATATGCAACTTTTAATATTTGTTTGTGTAATTATTAAATGTACGAAGTACCTCGATCTCTCTAGTATATATTAAATAAATAAATCCTTATAAAAGTATTAATTTACTTTATTTCTAAAATATGTATGATCTAACTTGACATAATTAACTTGATTAACTTAACAAGGGCTAGATTTTCAATCTATAAGTATGATATGATAAAAAGAGAAATAAAAAGAAAAATGAGTATTGGTTAGATGTTTGAAAAATGAGATGTTAAAAAAAATCATGATCCTATTTTATAAAGTTAAGCCAATATCAAATTTTTTCCAGTCATTTCATTATTTAACAATTATACGTATGATGTCCTTAAAAAAAAATTATATGTATAATTGATTCAAAATTATCTTAACTAAATGAAATGAGGTCCTTAAAAAAAACTAAATGAAACAACAGGTTTAAATAAGATTAGTTTAGTTAATACACAATTAACATTTTTTTAATCTATGTAATGAAGGATAATATTATCTCAATTTATAATAAGTGTATATTGATCTTGAAAGATAATACTCTTTCTATTATATAATAAGTGTAAAATACATTTCTCCGTAATTTCTGATACTTCTCTTTTTTTTTTTTTTTTTTTTTTTTTTTTTTTTTATAATACAACTTGAATAATAAGTTTTCATTTATTATTTTCTAAGCCGTTTCATTTTTTTTTGTAAAAAAAAAAAAAAACTAGTCAAACTAGCAGTAGAAAGGTAGAACTTAGAGTTAGAATACCATAGGTTATATAGTTGTGATGGCAGTTTATACATATAAAAAAGAATATTATATACGAATTTTGTTTCTTTCATTGTTTTTATTACTATTATTCGTGTAACGAACTCTAGAGCGGAGATAATTTATAGAGTCAGCAGCATCCACCTACTCATGACTGGCTCATGAAAAAAGATGGACACTGGACAGCGCACGGAATTTGTGCAGATATATTCAGAAATTTTAATGTCATTTTTTAACTTAAATTAAATGTTCTACCAAAAAGGTAAAAAGTAACTGTAGGGCAAAATAAGAGGACCGTAAATTATTATTCCAACTTTTAAAGTAATTATTTTATAACTAAAAATACTCTTATTGATAGATAAATTTATTTTGGTTGGACCTGGTCCAAATAAATTGGATATTGTTATTCATGATGGAGAGAAAAAAGGAGGGAGCGGTGACAGTGAGCATTTATGTGCAGAAAACGGAGGACACGTGTCAGAGTGAGGTGGCTGAGCGAAGTTGATGACGCGGTGAGTGACGCACGTGGGCTTGCACACGCTTTCCCCACAGTGTTGGAGCGTGTGAAGATGTAAAAGAGAAAGAGAAAACGAGTAGTTTGATTTTTAACCGAGAGAGAGAGAGAGAGAGAGAGTGACACGTAGGAGCAGAGAGTGTGAGTGTGGGCCCGCTTTCTCTTTCGAAGAAAATGCCACGTCAGTTATCCAACCACCGTCTGCCGTCCCCTCCAACTCTCTCATTCTTAGCTGTTGTTCACTCTTTTCCATTATTTCTTTCCTTTCTTCTTCTTCTTCTTCTTCCTCTCTCAACTCTTCTACGCTTCTTTTCTTCCTTCTTCCTTCCAATTCAGAACATGCCCACTTGGTGGGGTAAAAAGTCCAGCAAGACCAAGGACCATGGCGCCACCAACCTCCTTCACTTCAACTTCACCAAGCCCAACACCAACGGGCCCAGGCCCAAGAGCTTCGACGACGCCTCCTCCGGCCTCCCCTTGCCTCGCCCCGCCGACCAAACCCTCGCCTTCGGATCTGCCTCCCTCTCCGGCTCCAGCGTCAGCTCCACCGGCTCTTACGATGATCACGCTACACAGATTAATATTAATTCCTCCAAGTTCGTAATTCTTCTACATCCTTAGATTCCATTCCATTCTTTTTTAATTTTAATTTACCTTTTTTTTTTTTTTTAACCTAGCTTCTCGGGTTTGTCGTTAGCTTACTCATTCATCCGATAAACTCGCCTTTTCTCCGACCATCATTGCATACTTACTTCATTTATGGGATTCCTTTTTAGTTTTTCTTCTCCCCGTGGTTGTTTCTGTTGTTTCAATATTTCTGCCTTTTGTGGGGGTCTTCTTCTACTAGAATTGGGATTATCCGCTCCGCAAATTGTCTTTTCAAATTCTCAATTTTGCTGCTCTTCACTCATTATTTGGGGGAAAATGAAGATCTAAATCTTGATGCACATATTTGTTAAGACTAGGTCTTATATTCCTTTTTTATATGTAGCAAGTTAACTACCGGTTATCCACTCAGACCCCAGTTATGGCTTCTTAGACATCTAAATTGATTTAGGGTGAAATTTAAGCAAAATATACTCAACTTATTGTTTTTCTATGAATATTAAATGGTTGTTAATTCTAATTATGAAATATGGGACTGGGAGGCCCGAGGATGTAACTTACAATCTACATTCATTTTAGTGGGAATAGTTTAAAGAAAAGGGACACAGAGAACATGGATTGTTTAGTTTGTTTGTTTCTCCATTATGCTGCTGAACGAATCCATGTTGTTTCTTTTTGCTAGAGGGCAAGGTGATATGAAGTTCAGTGCGAGGTCAAAAAGCCCGGGTCCTGGGTCAAGAGGGCCCACCAGCCCAACATCACCTCTTCATCCAAAATTACATGTTTTGAGTCTAGACTCTCCTACAGGCAGGCAAGAAGATGGAAGGAGTGAATGTCATCCGTTGCCTCTTCCGCCAGGTTCTCCTACGAGTCCTCCTACTTCTCTTTCCAACACAAGAGCAAATGGAATGACAGAACAGACTACCGGTAGCCTTTCCAAATGGAAGAAAGGAAAGCTTCTAGGGCGGGGAACATTTGGGCATGTTTACCTGGGATTCAATAGGTATTTGGAGTTGTTTTCTATTTTCCAGTGAAGGAATTTTACTTTCAATTTTCTTTTTGGGTTTGGCTGCAACAACTTTATGTCGTGTATAATTTTCACCCCCCGAATTAAAGGAAGAACTTCTTGTGGTTTTTGCTATCAGTGATTGGAATGAGTAGGTAAATCTTTAGGTTACAAAGGAAATATCACAGTGCCAGTTGTTATTGGCAATAGAAAAAACAGGCTTTGAAGTACAACTATGTTTATGGAATGATGTCATCAGCCTTCTTTCAGAATGTACACTCTGTCCCGATGTCCATATTACGGACAAGCTACTGAAATTATATATATTCTGCTTCCTATGTTTGTTCTACCTCTCTAAGACGCTTGTGTTGCAACTTTGATAGTGATAGTGGACATATGTGTGCAATAAAAGAAGTCAGGGTTGTCTCTGATGATCAAACATCAAAAGAGTGCCTCAAACAACTTAATCAGGTAATTCTATTATCTTTCAAAGATTTATGCATGATGCCTTAAGCCTTAAGAACTGTTGCGTTGGAGTTTGTTTTGAGATGTCTGATCATCATTTAACCTGTACCATGTTCTTCATTCGATTGCAGGAGATCCATTTGCTCAGTCAGCTTTCACATCCAAACATTGTTCAATACTATGGGAGTGATTTGGTATGGCTAAAATATTCCAAGTTTTCAATCCTGTATGCCATGTAATACAAATTATAGCTGTCTGCACTTAGAGAAAGAGAGAACAAAATTGATAAATGAGATCCATTTATAAATATGTATGAGCCATGTTTGCAGGGAGAAGAAGCACTTTCTGTTTATTTGGAATATGTCTCGGGTGGTTCTATTCATAAATTACTTCAAGAATATGGGGCCTTCAAGGAGCCTGTCATTCAAAATTATACCAGGCAGATTGTGTCTGGACTTTCCTATCTTCACGGGAGAAATACAGTACATAGGTAGTTTGGTTACTCAAGAACTATTTATAACATGAAATGTGTCTTTACTCCTTTTTAGAGTATTGATAAGTTTTTATTTTTCACAGGGACATCAAAGGGGCTAACATACTTGTTGATCCTAATGGTGAAATCAAGCTGGCAGACTTTGGAATGGCTAAACATGTAAATTTATCATATGAATGCTTTAAAGAAGTTATTGCTTCCGGTAAAAATGTGAAATAAAATTTCCCAATAATCAAGTTGTAAAATTTTAAGGAGAGTGGATACTTAAAAGTGTTTCTTTTGCCCCAGCTTAATATTTTCTGTTCTATTAATATCGGAATGCCTAGTGGCAGAGATATTTCCCTTTACTCTCTTGAATGCACATGATTTCTCTCACAATTGTGCACACCTACATAGAGAATGAGATCTTGAGTGCATCTGTCTCTCACACGTGCATTGCGCTTTTCCATCTCTGTTCTGTCTTTAATATTGTAATGGTATATGTCATAAGCATATATGATGGGGTCTCTCTTGAAATGGACTAGAATTTTATTAAAAATGGTATGGGAATAGTTTTGAAATGTATAATTTTGTGTTTTGGTTGGTTTCGGATTGTGAATTCTGATTGTTCTTATCCAGATTAATGCATCTGCCTCAATGCTTTCTTTCAAAGGGAGTCCATACTGGATGGCACCTGAGGTGAAGTATTTTCCCCTTTTCACATCTTGTAATTTCTTTTGAACAAGAACATCCTTCACTCTCCTCTCTTCCACTTTAAGTTGTAATGTAACCCGATCTTTGCTTTCACAGGTTGTAATGAATACAAATGGCTATAGTCTTCCTGTTGATATATGGAGCTTGGGATGCACAATTCTTGAAATGGCAACATCAAAGCCTCCTTGGAGTCAGTATGAAGGGGTGCGATTTTGGATATTTAGAACTAGCATTTATTTGCATTTTTGTAATGAGCCTATTTGAAGAGTATGAAGGGCCAACATTGTTTTTTTATGTCTGTAATAAACAGGTAGCTGCAATATTTAAAATTGGTAACAGCAAAGATATGCCTGAAATTCCTGATCATCTCTCAAGTGAGGCAAAGAATTTCATTCAGCTATGCTTACAAAGAGATCCATCAGCGCGCCCAACAGCTCAAATGTTACTGAATCATCCCTTTATACGAGATCAGTCAGCAACGAAAGCTACAAATGTCAGAATAACCAACGAGGCTTTCCCCAACATGTGTGATGGAAGTCGGACACCGGTATAGTCCTCAATGCTAATTTATTTTATGTTGCTTTGGCATCTTGCAAGCTAATTCCTGCTTATCTTGACATAATCATTGTAAAAGTGGGTTCCATTCTCATATGATTAAGATGTTCATGATGCAATCATCTTGATATTTGGGTGATTTCAGCACTTGTGGTTTTTCCACTACTGGATAACATGTGATAATGATATACATATTGCCTAATTTTGACATACTGGGTTGTTGTCTATGCCAAAGTGCTATAATACTATGTCGGGATTTTATCTCAGTCTGTTTAGGTCTTTTTTGCTGTATGTATTATATAGCTCAACTTTACATGTTTAGTATTATCAATTTAAAATAATAGATTGTAAATATGTAGTAACCATATAGATGAAGTGGTTTCTTCAAATCACTTGTTGCAAATTGGCAATGAAGTATGCTTTGTTTTTTTATTGTCTAGAGTTAGTTGTTAAGCACTGATGATACATTTTACAATCAGGTAAGGTAGAAAAAAAACGATGATTGTCTTAGGTGTGTTTTGGCGGTTATGTTTGTGTATATTATTAATAGGCTACTTACATTTCCTTTGGAATTTGACAATATATATATGTTGCGATTTTGAAGTTGCAGTGTCTGAAATCCATTTGAATGGCCAGTGTTGAGCTGGGGTTAACTTCCTCTTTATTTAACTTGCTTTACAGCCAGCTTTAGAGTATTCCAGTAGAAGAAGTTTAACTTCACTGGATGGAGATTATGCAACAAAGCCAATTCCTGTAAACCCACGAGCAGCAAGGAGTCCAAGGTTAAACATTTGGCCTTTCTCTTATTGCGGCATGGTTATGTATCTCTATGTATATGCTAAATCATTTTTATGCTATTGGATTGACTTGCTATTGTAACTTCCTTGTTCAGAGATAACACGAGAATGATCACCTCTTTACCAGTATCTCCCTGTTCAAGTCCAATGCGACAGTACGGGCCAGCACACAAGAGCTGTTTACTTTCACCTCCTCACCCAACTCACGCAATGATGGGACAAAATACCCTCCCGTCATATCCAATGAGATCAAATGCTACATTCACTCTTGATCCTTTCCATGAAACATCTTTTTACAAAGCCCACACACCAGGTGGATCCCCAAGAACAAGACGCATTTGAGTTGCTGATTGTAAATACCTCTAAAATCTTTTTGGTTTCCCCGGCATGCATGCCTTGTGGTCTGGCTGAACTCCAATCCGCACTCTCATAGTACGAACTCTATCTAAAGGATTTTGGTCAATTCTTTTATGCATGAGAACTAAACAACGGTACAGTACAAGTGAGGTGTAGGAGCTCTTGATGCAGGGCAGGCATTGAAATGGGGACACCGTGCTGCTTGTAACAATTTATTGATTACTGTAAATGCAAGGTGTTTACTGTTTGTAGTAACGCATATTTTGTATATTGTTAGTTCATGACAGGAGAAAAAGAGCAATTTTTCATACATACTCTTTCTCTTTTTTAAATTATGTATTTTTATCCGAGAATGATACGTGTTTATGGTGTGGAACTCGGTTCCGGTTCCAAACCAGCCAGAATGATGGGCTTGAAAGTTGAAAGAGCCAGCGAGTCCTGAATGTCCAAAATATAAATTGGAAGCAATTTTATTATTGCGCATTGTACTCGGATTATTTCTTGCAATCAAATAATTTTTCTTTACTGTACTGCTACATATTATAATGTAGTTAGCCGACTTTTTTTTTTAATATTTTTTTTATACTTTATCAACTTAGATGACAGATCCCGAATAACCGACGATTGTGCATAATCAGGATAAAGCTTTTTAAATATGTTTGTCATAACATTTTTCATATTAAATGTTTATTATATATAAAGTTCATATATATTTTCAGTCCATGTAAAAGGAATTAGTTTTGGTTGCAACTTTTTTTTTTCTATTAATTTTTTTTCTATATAATTTAAGATTATTATTTTTGATTTATATTGTTATATTATGTTAGTGTATGATATATCTAAGTTTTTTTATAATAAATATTATTTATCTTCTTTAAAATTATTGTTAAGAATTAAAAATAATGATTTTAAATTTTAGAAGGATAAAAAATTAAATAAAAAATATATTTTTTTAAAATTAAAATATAAATTTGTTTATTTTATATAGATTAAAAATATATTTAAGTTAATAATTTATATTGTAACAAAATATTATTATTGATAATTTATTTTAAAATATTAAAATTTAATTATAAATAAAAATTAAAATAAATAAGAAGCTAGTTTTTTTAAAAAAAAACTCTTTCATGTAAGAAAAATATTTTAAAACATTTGAATAAAATAAAAATCTCTAAAAATACTCATTCATATTTAATATATGGGATAAATATAATAAATCTTTATATTGCGATTACATTTTAATTAAATTAATAAGATATATTCTAATATTAAATGAGAATAATATAGTTTATTTATTTATAAATGTGTATTTATTACAAATTTTAATTACAATATAATTTATATATTAAATTTTTTATAAAATTTAATTACATAAAAATATGCATTTTTCTTAAAAAATTAAACATAATAAAATACAAACACATTCATATTTAAGTTTTAATAATAATCAATTTTAAGGATTAATAATATATTAATTATCAGTAAATTGCAAATCGTTTTATAAACAAGTTTGTGAAGTTCTATAATTAAAGTCATAAGAATGATTTTAGATCGATTCATAGTCCTATTAAATTAATTTTACGATTTATTTACTTTAATTAGAAGAGCCAAATTTGATTTTAAACATTCACGTTGAAGATTCCGCGGGAAGCTTTCTCGTCTTTGAAGAAAGCTCCGCAACTGTGATACGCATCACACCCAAATTCACATTCTAGGGTTACAAAAATTGGAATCTGAAACCCGAGTTCAAGGTTTTCGTTCTCACCTTTCGATAAACAATTCAACCAGAAGAGAAGATGGTTACGGTTAGGAGTTGACGGTGACGGAAGAGAGAAGAGAAGATGCCGATCGAAATGCCGAAGGGGTTACCGTTCTCGGTGGACACGTGGACTCCGTCGTCGTCGAAGAGACACCATTTCCTCACACACGCTCACAAAGACCATTCCTCTTCCATCGCTTCACACTCTTTCTTTCCGATTTACTCTACTCGTCTCACCAAAACGCTTATCCTTCAACAATACCCTCAGCTTGATGCTTCCTTGTTTCTGGACGTAGAAGTAGGTCAATCCTTCATCGTCGATGACCCCGCCGGAGCCTTCACTGTCACCGCTTTTGACGCCAATCACTGCCCTGGTACTACTTGCTTCAATTATTTATCTATATTTGTTTTTTCATTCAACTATCTGCGTGTTTGGATTCACATCTATAATCATTAAAATCTGGCTAATGTGATTTTGGATGTATGTTCGCCTTTAAAAAAAAAAAAATTATTTTGAGGAAATGGTAGTGTGTTTGTGTAATATTCAAAAAATGATTTTTATTTTTCATATTTCATGGTGATACCATTAAAAATGTAGAAAAGATTATTTGTTATTTTTCCTTCAATATGAACAAATAATTGATTACTTCTCACCATGAAGTAAATCTAAACATACTACATTTCCATGTCCAAAATTGATTTTGAGGCGAAGTAACTTTATAATGTGGTTTGGATAACTGCCGAGAATCAATTCTACTCCCTCAATCATAGTGATACCATGAAAGAGTATATGCAACTATTTGTTGTTTTGCCTTCACTGTGAAAAAATAATTGATTATTTCTCATCATGAAGTCAATCCGAACATATTGTTGGATAGATTTTGTGCTGATTAAAAATCTTTATAGGGTGAGTTTTACTATTGACTTGCTTTCAGAAGAAAAGGATCAAAACATAAATCACATCATTTCAAAATTAATTTTAATCAAAATTAATTTGGTAAACGCTTATCGAATCATATGCATTGTAGACCATTTATGGTTGGAGAAGGTGCACATCATCATTATTATTGTGTTTGCTTAGGACAAAGATTCATTTGGTTTATTCTGTTTGGAATGCATTGTTCAGGGGCGGTGATGTTCTTATTTGAAGGCAAATTTGGTAATATTTTGCACACGGGAGATTGCAGGCTCACTCCTGAGTGTTTGCTCAACTTACCTGACAAGTATGTTGGGAGGAAAGGGAAAGAGCCGCGATGCCCTCTTGATTGTGTTTTCTTAGACTGTACATTTGGCAATTTCTCTCAGGAGATGCCTAGCAAGCATTCTGCTATTCAACAGGTACCTTTTCACTCTACCTGAGACTAAATCCCCCTCGTTTTTTTTGTTATGTTTAGTTTTGTGCTAGAAGGGATAGCTGTATTTTTTAGATGACCACCTTGGTTGTAGTAAGTTGCTTGTATTGTATTGTCTATCGAGATAATCTGGTTAGTTGTGTAAAGCATTAGCCAAGGTTTTAAAAAGCAGCCCGCAATTACAATTGAAATATCAAGATTTTTAGGTTTTTCTTTGTGATTGCATTGCAAGTTGCAACCACAATTGCATTTGCATCGGCCACAATTCTCTGTAATTTTCTGCAATATTATGGATTGCAACTAAATCTTAACCATGACTGGGACCACAATTTAAAACCTTGGCATAAAATTCTTCCCTCAATCGTGAAATAGTGATAAGCAGCAAAACTTGTTGAAAAATGGGGTATGATTACTCTTCTTTTGGGAACTCAACACTGTATGTTTAGGATATGATATTTTATCACCGAGTATCTTTGTACAATTTTTGGGTTAATTGTATGTTGTGCATGGGCATTTTGTGCATGTGACAGTTTGGTAACAATATCGTTCAGTTTCCAGCTTCATAGTTAATGCCTTCAACCTCAAGTCTTTCCAATTTTCAGCCCATACTATTTATGCATGCGGAAACTTAAATGTGTTACAACTTTTTTTGGGCGGGGGGAGGTTCTTAAATTCCAGCTTACTATATTTGTGTTTTTTCTTGTACCCATTCCGAACTTTCTATGTATCAGTGGGTTCATTTTACTGGTTTTATTAATTGATTCCATCATTTTGCAATGTCATTATCGAATTATGAATAACAATAGTTCCGTCTCAAAGTTCAGCTTACGGAAATACGAAACAGGTTATTAATTGTATATGGAAGCATCCTGATGCACCGACAGTGTACCTAACCTGCAACATGCTTGGCCAGGAAGAGATCCTTGTTAATGTGTCCCAAACTTTTGGAGCCAAGATATATGTTGATAAAGCCAAATATGCAGAGTTTTTTACGAATCTAGCACTTATCGTGCCTGAAATCCTATGTGAAGATCCAGCTTCTCGTTTCCACTTGTTTGATGGATCTCGAAGACTATATGAAAGAGCAGAAGCAAAACTGATGGAGGCCAAGGCAACTCTCCAATCTGAGCCTCTCATTGTCCGTCCTTCTGCACAGTGGTATGCTTGTGAAGAAAAGTTCTCAGATGTTGAAAACACTAGAAAAAAGAGGATGGATGAAGCAGTTAAGGATCAGTTTGGTGTCTGGCATGTCTGTTACTCAATGCACTCATCCAAGGAAGAATTGGAATTGGCACTTCAACTTCTTGCACCTAGGTGGGTTGTTTCAACAACCCCCAGCTGCAGGGCTATGGAACTAGATTATGTAAAGAAACACTGTTTTAATTCTAAAGGAGCTCTAAATAAATCTATGTGGAAGCTTCTGGATATGACGTTGGAAACATCTGATGAGTTTGGTACATTGGTCAAATCTGTGAGCTGTAATCCTGTTCTTGAAGAAACCCTTCAGTCTTGTGTGCAAACTCAATCACCAGTCAAACAGTCCACCGAAGCTAAAACACTGAAAGAATTGATTCTTGACAAAAGCTTGCCTATCACGTTATTTGGAAGAGCCAGGCTCAGTCTCCAAGATGGTGGCTTTTCACGAGGAGAGTGTAATATGTTGCCTGTTAATGTCCCTTCCCAAACAGTTTCGAGTGATGCACGACAAGAATTCTTTAAAGATCCGGAGGATGCTGAAGTGAAGTTGAGTTCACCGGAAAGAAAGAATGAGTTACACCAAGTGGAGACGTATCAGCAATCTGAGGTTCTGGAGGACACAAGAGTTCATAAGAGTGCCTCTTATCTAAATAATGGATCTTCAGGCTTGAGTGCAAGTGTCAGGAAGTTGTACAGGTCAATGAATGTTCCTGTGCCTAAACCTCTTCCCTCCTTAGTGGATCTTATGAATTCCCATAAACGTACCAAGAGGGGAATTAATTATTAATCTTGCTTTTCTTCTGTTATCTTTGGTTTGCCATCCTTGGAGATGTCCATGCACCTTGATCTTTTTCAAACCACCATATTTGTTACTAGGGAACTAGAAAAGCAGCAGCAAGGTGGAAGGGAAGAATTTGCAGGACTGTTAGGTGTTGTCAAACTTAAACAATTCTGGCATAATCCTTGTTTTGAATAAGAGATGCATCAAAAGATGCTTCGTACTGAGGAAATAGAATGTGGGATAGCTCATTCAAACATTGTTTATCAAATTTTACACATACTCGCAAGGTTGGGGCCTGACAAGGAGCAGCAGAAGTCAAGCACCAAGCTTTTATGCCCATGGAAATGGTGAATAGCTACAATACCTTTTTTATTTTTATTTTTAAATTATTTTTAAAGATAGTTACAATATTCTGTATACAGTTTATTGAAGAGATCAGTTCAACCTTTTTGACATAGAAATACATTGTATTGCTGCAACCGTACCAAAACATTATGTTTTATTGCTTCGTTTTACTTGTGCTAATAAAGTGCACTTGCAAATTGATTCTCATATCTCATCAACTTGCAAATGATTGCTCTTGCTGTGTATCGGATGTTTAATCTTAGGAGCTATTTGATTTAAGAAAATATTTTATGTTTTTATTTTTATTTGTAAAAGTGCTCCATTCTTTTCATTTTGTTTTGTGTTTTCAAAAGTTTAAAAATGTTCCCTTGTTTTCATTTTCCATTTTCATAGTTTTGAAATAAAGTGGTACTTTGGTAATTAAATGTGAAATAAAAAATAAAAACAATTTTTTTTTTCAAATCAAACGACCATTTATCCTTATTAAAAATTACGAATAGCCACAAATGCACATTCATCACAAAACTTCGAAGTACTCTGCACTAAAGATGGGGTACAGTCTCAGATGGTGTTTCAAACCCGGCTTCTTGAATTATACTCTTGTAACATCAGGAAAACAATGAGTTATATAGCAATCTTGTGCGCCCCAACTGTAGGTCATAGCCTCTCATAGTTGAGCTTCTCTGACTGCAAGGGAAGAAAGAAAGAGTGAGGTAACTTTGCACTTTTAACAAACACCTAAAATAAAAAAGAAAAACGTGTTATGTTTGTAGAGAAATATGCTAATTTCCGTTAGATTTCATTTACTACAGTACCATGAAAGGGAATCAATTGCTACCAAGCAGAACACTGGCTCAGTTAATTAGACACAAAATAAGCCAGATACAAGTCAAAACTCAGTTAAACAAGCTCAGGTTGGTTAGGCTTTTGCTTAAGCCAATCCTGTAAGTTTACTTAGTAGTAACAAATAGTAGCTGCAATTGGAACAAGTTAAACAGTACCTTGATAAGCATGTACGTAGGAAGCCAAGCTGGAGCAGTGGGTACCCCTACCCACGCAACCTATCAATTAATCACGAGTTTTGCTCAGCATAAGACATTAAAATGTAGTAGTAGCACTAAACAACTTTTTCATATTTGGAACTGGAATAAAGTACATATGTCAAGCCGTCAATTGTTATCTGCTTAACTTTGCTTGATGTACAGATCATCATTGGCATCGTAAAAAGAGAGATAGTTTTGATTCTTGCAGTCGTCTCTCATTTATTAGAACATCGGACAGACTTATTATCATTATTGTTTAAATATCACGTATTCTATGAAACCATGATGAGAATCAGATGGATATAAGTTACTTACAAGTGCATGCTCTCCTGTTTCAAATATACGCATATCCAGTACCTAGAAGAGTTTCATATCTTGAGTTAGATAAACAAAACCTCCGCATTCAAAACGAGTTCGACATGCTTTGCTATTTACCTCACCACGGTCTTCATAAATGTAGTCCAATCCTTTGTAATAAGGTGGGTGCCCAACAGAAAGATACTGAAATGATTAAACTTGAACACGTCAGTGTTCACAATTGAACTAAACCAAACCAACAATAATATGAGAAATCATTGTCCTTACGTTGACGCTATTGAGATATTTCTCCTTGTCCACCCTCACAATCTGACCTTTCTTCACTGCCCATAAACAAAAACCACAAACAATGATGAAAAAAAGAGTCTTTTTAATTAGTTGAATTTGAATGATTGGTTGACTCACTGGAATAGACAGGTTTCTTGGGAATCTTAGGTGCAGCAGCAGCACTTGAAGACTGAGCATTGGATGTCCCTTCACTCTTACTCTCTGGGGTCTCTCCTTCACCACTTTGCACTGCACGAATCAATGGAAAATTAGCGCTTTTTCTTCCCAAAGTTTGCTTGAAGCGAGGAAGGCAAGGGAAGGAGGTGTAGGAGAGTGTCACAGAGAACGCCATGAAGACTCAGAGAAACACAATGCCACGTGTCTCCCACAATGTTTTACATATACTAGAGATAAGAGGATGACACACTTTCATTTAGGACCAAAAAACATGACTAATCAAAGAATGCCACGTCATTAGGAAGAGGACTCAAGTGTCAATCTATGAAAAGTTTCGACCAGCTTAGGAATTTCATCCCAACGTTAAAACGGTCGCGTTGAAGAACTATCGACGAGGGAGGGCTATGAATCTCTCCATGAAAAGTCTTGTTGCTCCGCTTCATGCCTCAGTTCCCGCTACAACTACCAGGTTCTATCACTTTCTGTGTTTTTTTTTTTAATTTTTATTTTTTCACTTTTCAGTTGGGCATTTTATCGAACACCTTTTGTTTTGAGATTTTCAGGAGCTGCAGGGCGGAGAATTTTGCAATTAAAGGGCGTAATCTGAGATTCTCATTCACCACGAGGCAAACAAAAGATGTAGAGGTTCTTAGGGATTGTTCGATTCGCATTCCTTGCGGGGAATTTTGGATGCTTCTCGGACCCAATGGGTGTGGAAAATCTACCCTCTTGAAGGTATTATCAGAATTCAGAAGAAAGTTTTTTTGTTTTTGTTTTTTGTTTTCTGTGGTGTAGTATGTCTTGTAATGTAATCATGTGCCTGGTTTGCAGGTTTTGGCTGGTCTCTTGACTCCAACTTCTGGAACAGTGTACGTGAATGGGCCTAAAAGTTTCGTTTTCCAGAATCCAGATCATCAGGTTTTTTCCCTGTCTCAAATATTATTACTTTTTGTGCCTGTACTTAGTTCAATGCTATCTTTCTTTTAAGTCTGTTTGGGCTTTGATTTAGCCATGTCCAAATGGTTGATAGATATTAGAATAGATACATTCCATCTGCCCTCCTCTGGGATGAGGAGGAGTCTGCTGTTCCAATCTTGAATGTTTTAACCAGCAAAGTAACAGTTATGGAAATGTGTACTTGATGCCTCTAAGTATGGAATATTCCAGAAATGTACTTACTTTATTTGTAAGGCTCGGATTGAGGTGGTTAGAGTGAGTAACTGCTAAGACACTTGAGCATGACTATGTAGTAATCTCATAAGGTGTGAGAGCCTCTAACTATGGAATATTCTGGAGTTCCTAGCATGCATGATGTGAGCAGGCAACAGGAATGTTCTTCCCCAGGTGTAGGGAGCACCGTGGATGCTGGCCAATGACTTAACACTTAACAGGCTTTTAGTGGGCTTCCGTTGGCTCGACTCTAAGGTTATCAATTGCAGATGGCAGAAGGCCAAAATTCTGCCATAAACACGCCATTGTGACGTATGGTGCTGCCATATCTGGTCTCCCCTCACAAATTGGCTATGGCAGAGGAGAGGTCACAAAACTCCACGTTATAACAGTTATTTAACAACATTGCTTCAGTCCAGCAATGATTTGAGTGTGAGGGTCTGCTCTTGGTCAGATTCTACCAGGTTAGGCCCAGCAAAGTAGACCTAAAACAGGCGTTAACAAAAAGGTTAAATCTTTTGGGTCTATGATTGAAAAAGGAAAATCATTGGAATTGTTTTCTGTGAGAAAGAAAATATAAGCTAAAATTTGTTTTTGGATTATTTCAAATTCAAAGATGGAAGCCTCGTCAGATTGAGAGTCACACTGATGTACTAATCAGAAACGTAGTTCAATGCTTTTTCATCAGTTATCTTGCTAATACTGCTATGCTGTTTGTTGACTTCATTTGTAATATGTTTCTGATAGAAGAATAAGTTATCAGTGCAAACTGCAAAGTGCAATTGACCTGCCTTCCAACTAATTTTCAAGCAAATTTTGAGGCAATTTCCAACCTCTCCTTATGCCTTAACTTTTTGCTAGAAGACATTCCTAATGGCAGATTGGCTGTAACTGTTTCCATACTTCATATTGCCATTGCCACTGTGCCGACTTGGCGACTACTACTAGTACCCTGTCAGCATTCTAGATTTGAGATTTGATTGCTGTTGCTTGATTTTCTTTAGTTGTTTGTTCTATAGAAGCATGCCTTGTTTTTCCTTTGCATCTCAATGGGTAACAAATGATGCTTCGCTTTTCCATTCTGTTTTTCTTGTTAACAATGCTGTTTAGTTTTCATAGACTAGAAATTTTATAGAAATATTTAGGCAAAACTTACTGAAGTTAGCTCAACAAATTAAAGTCTTGCATCAGACTGAATATGGCAACTAAAGTGGAAAAGAAAGCAGACTGTTATTTTGGTGCATGCCATGTTGGGAGATCTCATCTCCATATTTTCCTTCTAAAGTTTTCCTTCATGTCAGAGCATGGTGAATTTGCTTGATTTCTTTGTTCTCTACGTGGTTATCAATAACAGAGTTCTATTAGCACAGTGCTCTCTAATGAATTTGAATAATTTGATTATGTATACATTTACTAAAACATACTTCAATCTAATCTCAATGTTTTATTTTGATCTTCTAATCTAATCTTCATGTTTGCTGATACAACTATTGCGATTTTCACTTTTCTGAAAAGCATATTGCTTTTCTCTTTTGACAGTGTATTCTTGCAGTTTCTTTATCCATTCACATTGTCAAAACATTAATCTCATTTGTTATGTTCAAAACATAAATAAGCTTTGTTTTATTCAAAATCAAGTAATGACAAGGACAGCCAACAATATATAACCATCTCAAAAATATTATACAACGTATCAGTAGCAATATATAGCCATCAGCTCAATTAAAAATAAAAACAGAAAGTTAATATGCTAAGTAGGTACTAAACAAAATAAAATAAACATTAACAGCAACAATCGCTTATAGTCAACAATATGAAAATAAAAAACCTGAATTTGTTATCATTCTGTAATAACTGAAAAGGATCTACTGAAATGTTACTGCTTGAACCCATCAAATGTATATAATCAGACTGTCAAGTGTAAAGCCTTACATTTGTTGCAGGTGGTGATGCCTACTGTAGATGCCGATGTTGCATTTGGTCTCGGTAAGATCAATTTGACCAATGATGAAGTCAGATCTAGGGTGTCAAGAGCTTTGCATGCTGTAGGTCTGTCTGACTACATGAAGGTATGAGAGACGACACGTTGAACACAAGCAACTGCGTCAATTATTTACAGTAAATGAGCTTTCCTTTTGTTGCAATATTCAGAGATCCGTCCAAACTCTGAGTGGTGGTCAGAAACAGAGGGTTGCCATTGCTGGTGCTCTTGCAGAAGCTTGTAAAGTTCTGTTGTTGGATGAGCTCACAACATTCTTAGATGAAACTGACCAGGTAATCTTTGAATTGTGTGATGTTATATGCTTTATCATGTCATATTTGTTGAAAAATCATGAAGATTGAGATCCTGAAATAGCTGGAAACGATAATTTTTTTATCCATAGGAATAACAATTGAATTTAAGACCCTGTACATATTATCTTAATTCCTTACCATTTACAAAATACCAATAGCAATCACTTATCCTTCTCTCTCTTTCTTTCTACACATTGTTTTCTCTATGTATGCCTTTTATCTGCATCTGACACATTCACACCGACAGAAAACAATGTTGTTGGGGCAGAATCCATTTTTTTGCTTTCTTACATCTGAATATCTTGCTCACAGTTGAATTTTTTCTTGTTAGTAAATGTGAAAGTTTTTGTGCAAGTCCAACACTTCTTGATAGATGGTTTGTGCTTTTCATGTAAGGTTGGAGTTATCAAAGCTGTTAGGAACTCTGTGGATACCTCTGAAGAAGTTACCGCATTATGGGTCACCCATCGTTTAGAAGAACTAGATTATGCAGATGGTGCCATCTACATGGAGGACGGGAAAGTTGTTAAGAAAGGAGATGCTGCTAGCATTAGGAGTTTCATTGAGGCCAGGCAGTCAGCCTATATTAACCTGATTAATTCTTAAAACAAATTTTTTTTTTTTTGTTTCTGAAGAAGTTTCCCGTTAGCCATTGAAACTAAACTCACATGATTAGAGGGTTACATGGTAGTATATCATTTTGTTTTCTTCTTTCAAAAAATCTCAAATAAGGAGAACAATTATTTAAATTACAATTTTTTCTGCTCCTTTTGTAGTTCAAATTCTTGTATATGATGCTGAAGGGTTACTCAAATCATTTTGGTTCGGTGTAATCAAATCGAAGAGATGTAAAGTTTTGAGCAAATTATATTCAGTGAATACAGATTTAATACACAATATAAAACGTTGGTCGTTAGATGAAAATTGAACAGGACACAATTGTTGCTGAAGTGAGTGCACGGGTTCTCAATTGTATCATATCTGAATCTGAATTCATGTTTTTTCATTTGTTCCATTCAAGTCATTTACCTCCCATCAATTCATGGGTATCCCTTGAAATTTGTCTATTGGAGTTTTGTTTCCTCTAAAATATATTGAAACAAGGGGAGATTTCAGAGTGTTACTTGCAAACATAAATAAGAGTTCAATACAAATTAGTTCTATAAGCTCGACTTGTATTAACTTAATAAAGTTGATGAATAAGACCAAATTAACAATATTTTTTCAGGTTTTATTATTTGATTATTCTGCCAATCCTAACTGGTCACGATTCACACAGCTGGGTTATTATTTTATTAAAATGAAAAATATCTTAAGGTTGCTGACAGGTCTCATCTGCCGGCTGCTACTATTGAAAGGTTGCCATACATCAATATCAAATAGTTAGTGAAACATTGCCTCACGATTCTTTATATTTTTAGTTGAAGCGTAACTGAAATATTAGGAAAAGTCCACTAACATTAAAAAAAAAAAAACATTTGAAAATTTAGTTTGCGTTCACAAGTGCCACTAAAAGTTAGTGGATACTTGCTGATACTTCTGGTTTTGAATATACTCGTTTTGGATTTCGTTTTTGGGGTCAAACATCTTACAATTCTCAAGTGGCAACTAACCCTAGCATTGTTTTTTTCAGCACATCTCATTTTCTTCGTTGGTAGATAACTAGTCTTATACCATACATGCTATATAACCTATAGGTCAGCTACATAATAAGTTGCATAATTTTTTGCTATGAATGCTAATGAATAAAAAACAAAATGATTCCCCCCATTGGTTTATTCCACAATTGTCCCCTGAAAATGGTCTTGTTAATTAAGAAGGTCAACAGAAAAAATGATAATATAATGAAGCTAAATAAAAGCAAATATTGATTATGTTTGTTTGCTAAGTAATTAACATTGATAAAAACATTTAAATATTCATTGTACAGATCCAAAGTTAAAAGGCATTGTTATTATCCTGGTTTACCGTATTTATACTAAATTATCACTTTAGGGCTAATAATGGTAAGCAGCAGAAGCCGTGGAATTTGGGGAACAAATGAAATTAAACATCATTCATATAACAAAATCAAACTTAAGACCTTTGAGAATTTAATTCAAAAGCCATCCAGAACCCCAGCATCAGGGGATCTTTGCCATCCACAGTTCATGCGAATTGCAAAAGGACAAAACAGAAAGAAAAAAAAAACTCCACGACAGTTGGTAGCTTTCTTCTTCGAACGCAACGGAGTTTCCACTTTCAAAATTCCGAACCCTCGTTTGTTCTTTCCGCACATCAACACCGTTTCTGGGTCGTTCAATCCCCGAATTTTATCATGCAATTCTCGTTTTTCATCCAATTCTCGTTAATAGAGCGAATACTGTTGTGACCCTTGATGGGTTTTTCTCGTCGATCATAAAAATTTCCGAAAGGTGTTTCCTTTTCACGTGTCTCTTCTTCACTTGTCGATCCTGAGCTCCAGAGCTTGAACGCTGTGGAACTGTGTAGTTTGTTGCTTCTTTCTTTTGTTCTGTTGTGTCAATTCAGCTGAAGCTATAACTCGATCACATGAAAATGAAGCCTTCTACCACAGAGGAACATGACATGGAAAATGGCAAGTTGGTCAAAGACAAAGAAAGAACTCCAAGAAATGGAAGGGTAGTCAATGTCCCCAATCAAGCCTTGTTGTCTGGACTTGCTTATTGCTTTTCCTCCTGTGGCATGATATTGGTTAACAAGTTTGTACTTTCCAGCTATGATTTTAATGCTGGCATATCCTTGATGTTGTACCAGGTATTATTTGATTTGGTGTCCTTGGAATCTTTTACCCTTTTGTGTGTTGAATTATGATGCGGAAGTTGCTTGAGCTGGATTGATTCTTACACTTCCGTGGATGCAGAATTTAATTTCAGTTGCTATTGTTTCCGTGTTGAGCCTTCTGGGTTTAGTTTCAACTGAGCCACTGACATGGAGATTGATTAAGGTCTGGCTGCCTGTGAATGTTATATTTGTTGGAATGCTCATTACAAGCATGTTTAGGTATGGAGTCTTCAACTATGTGGCTATTGTAATGTTTTTATTCTATGGAGTATGTCGATTGTCTTACAAAAGGGGATGGTTGTGGCAGATGCTTTGTGACTGGTTTTTTACCATTCAATGTTTCATGTGCTTCCAGCTCTTTAGATGCTAAGCGATTGTCTTACAAAAGGGGATGGTTGTAGCAGATGCTTTGTGACTGGTTTTTTACCATTCCATGTTTCATGTGCTTCCAGCTCTTTAGATGCTAAGCACTTGTCATGTGTCGTGTATACCTTTTTTTTAGTGTGCTTAGTAATACATCTGTTGCCACTAGATGTAGACTGCGAAAACAACTATTAGTTGCTTTTTCGTCAAAATTGACATGGTTTTTGCTTGGATGTGGATCTTAGAAGTGCATCCAAACATGCCTTTAATTATTGTCTAATGCTAGGTGTGAAACTGCATTAATTTTAAAAAAAATATTTTGCCAAATGTGTTTGGAGAGATTCCATATACATGCGTAATCGGTGTAATCGTGAAATAGAAACATTTTGCTGATATTCAGGGAAGAATTATACTCATTTGGGGAGCATGGATTTCCAAATTTGTGCTAACTTTTATTGTCAAACATGTGATTTAGACATTTATTATCTTGCCTGTGTCAATTTATGGACTGAAATTACAATAGAGATATTTGTTAGTTTACTCTCACTCTCTTGCTTGCTTGCATTATTTTACTAATCCATTTGCATTATGCGCAGTTTGAAATACATTAATGTAGCCATGGTGACAGTCCTGAAGAATGTTACTAATGTCATAACTGCCCTTGGTGAAATGTACTTGTTCAAGAAACACCACGATGGCAGAGTCTGGGCAGCTCTGTTTCTAATGGTATGTTGATGAGCTTGACATATGAATCTTGCGACCCCATGTCTTTTGGTTGTTTGAGAACCTGATTGATGTAGAATAACAAATTCACATATCATACCTTGAAATATCAATCTTGCTATCCCTTTATTTTGCTTGCATCTCCTACTATACAACCATTGCTTTTGCCGACATATTGTTTTATCATAGTTGTCCAAGGATGTGTAGTCACTATGGGGAAGATGTTACTTGTCTAATCAACCAAAATATCCACATGTTGCCAATTAGTTCTTGCCCAGTCCTACATTTAAGGGAACATAAAATATGTATGAAGAGGGGTTGGTGATTTAGAATGGTAGCCAGGGTTACCAAAAATTTGTATGTCAAATTATGTAAAATGTAGTTGCTGGACTTTCACAGGCTCACAGATGATATGGGGATTATTCTTGCAGGGGTCTCTCTTGCTTCTAGCAATGCATTTATTACTTGGTGGCTTGTCTGTTTTGATTTCATAATTTAAACATCTTTTATTTTGTTGGACTTGTGTAGCTGTTTACTATTAAGACTGTCTTGAAATTATGCATCAGTTGGATCCTTGCTTTACAAAACATAACAAGCTTTTGTATAATACAACCTAAGAGTTTACCTTTTCCCTTGCAGATCATTTCAGCAATAACTGGAGGGATTACTGATCTCTCTTTTAATGCAGTTGGTTATGCTTGGCAGACACTAAACTGTTTCTTAACTGCATCATATTCTGTGAGTATTGATGTTTTGTGATTTTAAGCTTCATCAGTGCCATGAGTTTTGTTCTTTTTAATTCCACTTAGCTTACCTTTCTATTACTTCCTGTGTGCTTTTCAAATGAAATTTCAGCAGAATACTGCAAGATGTAACTTAAGCAATAAGTTTTATTCTTTTTGCGGTGCTGTTTTGCATGTATAACTTGGAAGTCTATCACTGTTTGTTTATGATCACTGTCTAAGATGACCTACTAGTTAGTTAGTTACAATCAGTGAAAGGTATCTCATGTATTATGTATAGAGTAGAATAGAAGGAATTGGGGACTTTGGACATTAGGAGGTTCAAACTCTCAAAGTTCTTCAGTATTGTACTTGGGAGGTTTTCCCTATTCTTTGTAATAAGATATCAAGTTCCTATCATATTGAAGTGTTCATATGTTTTACAATTCTTTCAGCTCAATTTAATGATTCTGGTTGTTTCAACAATGATATGAACATATGCCATATATACTATCTCCTTGTGTTTGTTATCATGGTCATAGTGTATCCCTAGTCCCTAGGGCTCTTCATCTCTCTCTGTGCTGAGGACTGGCTTAGACTTGGTTGGAGGACAAAGTAAAATTAAACAAAAAAAGTTATATGAATTGATATAGTTCATCATGGTTGAAGTGAATTCATCAGTTTATCCAATCAAACTTTCCAGCATGAATACAAATTATTCATCACCTATTCCTGGTGAAAACGGGCTCAATGCATTTCACTTGGACATATTACTTGCTTTGATGGGGTTTCTATAATCATAGTACTCAATTACTTTTACACTTATACACGGAGGAAGTTCGGTTTGGTTTTGGTTTAAAAGGATAATATACAATGGTATAATGTGTGTATATAGATAGCACTGAATTTAGCTTTTAGTCAAGTTTGCTGATTATACAAATTGTTTTTATCTTATTGCTGCAGCTGACCCTCCGAAGGGTCATGGATACAGCAAAGCAATTTACAAAATCTGGAAATTTGAATGAGTTTTCGATGGTCTTGTTGAACAACACCCTTTCTTTGCCTTTGGGAATTTTCCTGATTGTAGTTTTCAATGAGGTGGATTATCTCTTAACAACGTGAGTTTTTCCTTTATTTTTGTGACTTGCCTTAATGTTATGCGCTTGGCATACTTCATTTTCTATAAGGTTACGTGATATCATAGGTTAAAATGTATCATAAAGAGAATATTCCATTTTTACTTTTTGCCTTCCGTTTTTCTGTATACAAACACAGATCTGGAATCTTAAGAAAGGTGTTTTTTTTTTTTTTTGTAATAAATTGTTTAGGTTATGTTGATGACCAAAATAAAAAAGCTACTCACTATGTTATTTATTTCAATCTACAGGCCACTTCTAAGATTGCCTAGCTTTTGGTTGGTGATGACTTTTAGTGGAATTTTGGGTTTAGCAATCAGCTTCACATCCATGTGGTTTCTTCATCAGACGGGAGCTACAACTTATAGGTGATTATTGTTGGAACAGATGTTTTTATTAAATCTAGATTATAGTCTTCAATGCCATGCTATATCTGAAAAAGGCCTCTATTTTAATTTTGTTAGACATATCTAACTAGTTTTCCATCTGCAGTCTTGTAGGTTCACTCAACAAGATACCACTTTCTTTTGCTGGCATCCTTCTCTTCAAAGTTCCTACTAGTTTGGAGAACTCTGCTAGCATTTTCTTTGGTTAGTTCTTTAAATTAACTGAACTGAAAGTGATACTATCACCATGTTCTGTCCTTATTACTTATTATTATTACTATTACTACTATTATTATTATTATAAAGTGCATTACCACAAGTTTGTATTACATTTTGTTTCATCACTGAAGGTAGAAATGCAATTTGTAGGTCTTCTGGCAGGAGTGTTTTTTGCAAGAGCCAAAATCCGGGAGAGGTCTCAATCTTGAAGAATAGTAAATTGCATGCATTATAACTGAAGTTTGCACAAGAAGGAATTCTTCCCATCTAAGGAATTTGATTTCTGGATTAAGTTGGACATCCAGTCCAAGTCTGTTAGGTGCTGTCAAGAGATGGCATCAACTAAACTGACTCTCCCACCCTTTATATATCCAAATGGGGGGATGGCTCATTGTTTCTTCTCCAAGGGACAGTTTTGGTCCACGTCCATTTTCAGGAAGGGGCTTCTTGGATTGATTGCATTGGCTCACTCTGAGAGGAAAAATTGCCGCTAATTTTGTATCATGTGACTTAATTATTCCCATGTATCATCACATTATGATTTGTTTGATATGAAAATTCTCATTCAAATGAAAAAAAAAATAAAAAAAAATGAAGAGTTGATCTTGCACTTTGCGGCAAGGGTAATTCTTTGTCTCCTTTTTCTCTGGCATTATTTATTTGTTATATGGTCTCTTTTCATTGAAATGAAATTTTATTTGTTCTTTGATCATTTTTTTTAATGACTCACATGCAATAAAAAAAGAGAAATTTTGAAAAATATAAATATTTTTTTTATCAAATACAATATAATAAAAAGAATAACATGGAAAGGAAAATATTTACATTAGGCGATAAAAGTTAATGTGTACAAATATAATTCAAATACAAAAAATATGAAATATTTTATTAAAAGTAAAAATATTTTATATTTCAGTTATTTTTTTAGCATTATTTTAAATTTTATGCATTAAAAGTATTAATATATTTTGCGTTCAAATATAATAAAAGCATTTTTATATTTTGTTTTCAATAAATAAATAAAATATTTTCTTTAAGTTAAGTAAAAATAGTGAATAAATAACTTCTCTTAGATTTAGGTGATCAGAGAGAAAATTTAAATTTAAATATAAAGACAATTTTATTTAATTTAGAATTTTGTATGTAAAAAAGATTTGAATATATTTATAATCTTGGAAGATATTGTTTTTTCAAATTAATCTAGCTGCTATTTTTTCTCCTTTTATTTGTAAGTTTAAAAAAAATGAAATCACTTACTTTTACTTTTTTTTTTTTATTATAAAAATTTACTTTTACTCTAAACATTATGGATGGATGACAACAAACTACACATGAGTTTGTGACAAAGTAAAAACAATACCATTTTTTGTTTTGAATTTAAGAGAAGGAAAGAGATAGAAAAGAGAATGGGGAAATAAGGTGAAATTGCGTGGTGTCTGATTGTGATAGCAATTAGCATGGTATACATGGAATAGTGACTCAAGGCAAGGATCGATTTAGAGAGTAAGTGAGAGGGAGACACGTTACTTGACTTGTGTGTTTTTGTGAGGGTTAGGTTATCGTGGATTGCAGAGATGGAGGCATCAGAGAGCAACAATCCAAACCCTAACCCCATTCGGAATTCGCTAGCGTCATCGGTGCCGCTGTGGCCAACCATCGATGGCCCATTGGGCCTGTCGGAGGAAGAATCGGTCAGCTACGCTCGCCGCTTCTACAACTTTGGCTTCGCTCTTCTCCCTCTCCTTTGGGCCGTCAATTGCTTCTACTTCTGGCCCGTTCTTCGCCACTCCCACTCCTTCCCTCGCATTCGCCCCTGTACTCTCTACCCTAAATTATGCACTTACTTTCAATTACACTGCATCCATAGGTTTAGATACACCTTCCTTTTCCCTATTAATTTCGTTTGATTGACATGTTTGTGCAGACGTTCTGGGATCCGCAGTTGGGTTTGCAGTGTTTGCCACACTTCTCTCTTCTTGGGCTCTAACTTTTGCCATTGGAGGGGAACGCCTCTTCGGTCCTGTTTGGGATCAATTGGTGATGTACAATCTTGCTGATAGGTTAGGCTTAACAGGCTGGAGCTAGTTCTGAATTTGAATTTGGTAGATATATTTTCATTTTATTACCACACTTACCTTCTTCCCCTGCTTCGTCTATGCATCTTTTTTACCTACACATTTGACTTTATTCTGTCATTCAATTAATGGTGAATTTTACCTTACTGGCACACTTGATAGATCAAAGAACAATGTTTTAGAAGAGGATATAGATATTGGTGTGCTGTTTTTACTGCATTCATTTTTGTGTGCTATATTATACTAGATTCTTTTTTCTCATTTTGGTTTGTTGAGGAAGAAAAGATGGCGTTCATATGTTACAAGACATCATACAGGCTTGGAAATTTACCCCTTATCCTTCAGGAGACAGTATAACAGTTCGTTTGGTATGATTGAAATACCAGAGAAATAGAGTAGAGAGTGAATAAACAGGTAATAGAACAGAATGCTGCAGTCGTGTTTGATTGTGTTTGTTCTTTAGTTTTTTAAAACTAATTTTTAAATGGCAAGAGTGATGGAAGAATATGAGATAGGAAGTGTAACACCTTAATCGCTCGATTATTCTCTGATAGAAATTTTGATGACATGTCAGTCCTTTTAAATGAAATTGTAACATAATATAAAATCAAATTAGCAGTTAGTGTGAGTCTCCTACCTTGGCTTGAAAGACCTGTCTATTAAGATTTCACAATTCAATTACCTTTAACTCTTTAGACCAAAAAAATCTGTTAACTATCCCTTAGTTACCATGTTGTCATTCCACCATCATTATTTATTTACACATGATGTATGGACCTAAGCCAAAACAGCATTCATTCTCAAATATTGATAATTTCTCAAAAGATCAAAAGTCTCCTCTGTTTTCGGTATGTTCCATTATACCTCCTAATAGGTATGGATAAAAGATCAACATAGGGAAACTTGGCCAACATATTCATTCGTGATTCAATGCACACCATCAATATTATCATCACAATCACACTATCATTCACTTTGGTTCACTTGGTCAATCATAGATAGCATCCGTAGCTCACATTTCATTAATTCAATTTCTCTTTCATTTTTAATGTCACCATCATTTACAAAATCAAGAAAAATGATACATCCTCGGAAAGGATTCTCCAAAATATATTCTGACCCAATGTATAGGAGAAAATAGCATCACTCCAAAATCAATCGTCCAATCAATATCAATCATAGTAGAAAGTAAACAAATGGTGTTTACACAGTATAACTCCTTGGCTGAAACATAATATTTCTTATAATTTAATGTCATAGCTTTTTCACTGTATTTATATATATATAAAATAGTTTTATTTTTATAAACTCAAAGTTTAACATTTTTAATTATTATAAAAATATTAATATTCAAAATATTTATTTTATCAACAAATCGTTAATTTGAGTACAATTGAATTTGGATCTTTTTAATAAAATCTTAATCTTACGTATAAAAAAACATAAATGAAAAAAAAATCTACTAATAGTGGCCAATTAAATTCTTAAAGAAGAGAAGTTACTAGTAAAATTGGTAGAATACATCACTTTGATAACATAATTACTATAAAAAAATTTGATAAGAAAAAATTTAACCTTTTACAAGTATTGTTGCATTGCTAACAAAACAATTAAATTATTTCTAGAAAAAATTTGCATGTTTTTATAGGGAAACAAAATTGAAACCCTACTTTTATAAGTCAAACATTTATCCATATTAAAACAAATTTCAATCAATTACTAAAAATTTCAAATATTACTTTGACTTAAATATATTTTTTATTCTTGTACTATGTTTTTCTTTTGTCCTTATAGAAATATATATATATATATATATATATATTAATTATAGAGACCGAAAATCATATTTAAACATTTTATTTTTATATTTTTTTGCAAAAATAATGTCAGCTAACATGGAAATAACAGTTGTTGTTAAGGACAGGTGACACTGAAGTAACATTTTAAAAGTGTTAGTAAAGAAGGTGTCCGATGTCTTCGCATTATTCATTATGAAGTGTTTTCATGTGTTTTTATTTTATTTAATATTTTTATGAAGTTTAAATGTTATTAAAGTTTGTGATTAAGCAACTTAAGTATGTTTTTAATTTTGTTAAATATTTTTTTTATCATTAAGTGTGGTGTCAAAAAAATTTCCTGATATGTATGTTTCAAAAGTCAAATAATATATGATAAATGTAAATTGAAAATAACAAATTAAAATTTTTTAAAATAATAATATGTTTATACATTGTATGTACTTATTACTGGAGTAACATTTTTTCTTCTTGATTAAAATATTAGTCTATTGTTATTTTTTTTTTTTTATTGTTATACGTTTTTAGTGTTGTTATTATTCATTATTAGTGTTATTTCCATTTACTTTATATTTATTTTAATATTATAATTTTATTATAACAATATATATATATATATATATATATATATTATTTTTAATATTATAAATATTGATGATCAATAATTTTTACTATTATTTTAAATATGTTTATGAAAAGTGACTTTTCTTAGTTTTCGAAATTGATATGCTTCAAGAAGAATGAACACAAAATTGGAATAATAAAAATTAAAATTATCTTCTTAATTTTGAGGTGTAAGTGTAACTCTAAACTCTAAACTTTTTTTTTTTTAGACGTGTGACCTGTGAATATGAAATAGATAAAAGAAAAATGTGAAAGAACATACAATCGCATGTAATATTTACTTGATAAATAAATTATATTAATTTTTCATATAGCTAATTTATTTTCTCTATTCTTTTTAATATGTAAGAATTCAACTTAACAGTAAAATAACAATACTTACACACTCTGTTCAACCAATCAAATTAGACTCCCTTAATATTTACTTATACTGTATTTGGATAATATCTAAGAATTAATTTTTTTTCATCAAATATAAGAATTAATTATATCCTCTAAAATCATGATAATGTCATAAAAATAGAAATAAATATTTACTACTTTGCTTTCACTATAAGAAAGTTCTTTTACCACAAATCAATCCAAATACACCATTAATTCGTCATATAACCTTCAATTTTAAAACTAATATATTTTTTCAGATGGTAAGTTTTATTGTGTCAAAGTATACATTTACTTTTTCCTTTTGACATGCACGCGCGCGCACACACCCATATATATAAATAAATAGATAAATAGAAAAATTCATGTGCTTTAAGAATAAGTTTAGGATTTAGATTTTAGAGTTGAGGAATCACTTAATAAGTTATTTTTTATATTAAATTTCAATGATTTAATTATTAAATTAAATTTTTTTCATACATAGATCAAGTTTGTAAATTTAAAAAAAAAATTAAAAAGTATCATATTTTGTTATATAGATTTAAATAAACATGTACAATGTTTTCATGATTATCCTTTAGATTAATGAATTAGAGTATCTAATAGTTTTCAACTTCTTTAAAAATTTATAAATTTAATCTATGCATTAAAAATATTTAATTTAACAGTTAAATTATTAAAACTTAATATAAAACATGAATTATTAAGTGAAATAAATTTAAAACTTATTCTTAGAATAAATTAATCTCTTCTCAAATCCCTCCAAAGGCTAGGTTTGGATTCGGTTCACTCCTCCACTCAAATCCACCAAAGGTGTGCTAGTTTGCTAGATAGGTTCTTCACCTACAAACAAAATGAAACCAACCCAAGAGCAAGAGTCCAAGAAAATAAAAACTAAAAATGCACAATTAGGGGAAGGCTAAACTCAGAGAGAATTAATGGAGACAAAACAAAAGAGGCCAAAGAAAAGACAAACTAAAATTAAGACTCAATAAAAAAAAAGGAAGCACACAAAAGAGTAATCCTAGAATGGCACTAGAATGGATTAGTGTTTAGTCCACTTGCTTAAGTCTTTTAAGTGATTCGGTCCAGCCACTCTTAAGGTCTCAAAATAGGGTCAAAATGTCACAAGTCCAATGTGATACCCCCATACGGATCTTTCTTTCCCTAACTCCTTCCTCTCTAAACTCTCACCTTACATTATCTCACTCTCTCTTTTTCCTTTTGTTCTTCTCCCCCAAATTTCTGTCTCAAGGTGGTGGTGTGGAGCAGAATCGGGATTTTGCTAGCTGAGTAGGAGTTTCCCTTCTTCTTCTCCTTCGTCGTTCAAGCTGTTCTTCGCTTACCTCTCGTTATTCTTCCCGAAGCTCGATTCCTTGATTTGAGGTAAGGGAAGCTAGTTCTGTGGTGATTTTGGAATGAGAATCAGTTGTTGCATTATTTTTCAGTTGTTTAAGAGGGTTGATGGTTGCTGATCTCGTGAGAAAGGCTGAAAATTAGAAATTTTTGGGTTCTTTGATGGTTTTGGACAAATCTTGGGCTTTTTGATGAATTTGTTGTTGCATGTTGAAAAAGGTGGTGTTTTTGAATTCTGGGATGATAATGTAGTAGATTGAACCGATTGCATGTGGGGTTTTCTGATTTTTTTTCTGCAGATTTTGAAAAGTCTTTCGAAAATGGTTGGCTGCTGCTGAGCTTCGCGCTGAGCGAGGTTCTTCGCGCCTGGGCGCGCGGCCACCAGGAGACCCCATTTGGCTAAGCTCGCTGAGCGCAATGATGAGTGCGCTGAGCGCGCTTGAGAATGTGGGTCTCTGGCTGGTCCGCGCTGGGCGTGACTTGGACCGCGTTGGGCGCGATACCAGTGTGGCAGGTTTTAGTTCTTCTTTTGGGCACTAAGCGCGCCCCTTGTCGCGCTGGGCGTGAGACTCCTTAGGAGTCTCTGCCTTGTGGGCGCTGAGCGCAATTTGAATTGCGCTGGACGCGAGACCAAGGGAGGTCTCTGCCTTCCCTGCGCTGGGCGCGAATTTTGATGCGCCGGGCGCATGGGACTCCTTGAGTCTCTGCCTGGCCAGTGCTGGGCGCAATGGAAATTGCGCCAAGTGCGAGAGGGCCTTGGGTTCTCTGGTTGAGTCCCGCCAGGCGCGGGTACACCTTCGCTGGGCGCGCGGGCCCCCTGGTGCTATCTGGATTGCGCCGCGCTAGGCGCAACCACGTGTGCGCCGGGCGCGGAGATGAGATTATTGAATATGATGCCTATGTTGAGTTGAATTGAAATGGAAAGTTATGAAATGATGTCTAGTAGATAACGTTAAAGTTGATATTAAATTGTTTCTGGTGAATGGGTTAAAAAGTAGTTTTATATTATAGATGATATGTTGAACTGTGAATCTGATGTGTTGTGGGTATAGTTGTGTTGTACTGTGTGTTGCTATTGGTTGTTGTAGGCCAAAAGGCTGAGGTGTTGTAGGCCGAAAGGCTGAGGTGTTGTAGGAGATCTCCGAGGTGATATGCGTGACGACGCATTTTGTGTGTATTGGAAAACTATGTGGAGATAATTGGCAGGATGTTTACTGATGAGTTGTTGATGGTTGAAATTGTTGTCACTGATTAAAATTTCCATATGTTGTATTTGTTTTTCTATACTAGCTTACCCTTGTGTTTCCATGTGGTTGGACTGCTATGATCGTACTATGTACGGGAGCAGAGCAGGGATAGGTGGTGGATAGTGATGAGTTGGCAGCGGATAGATGGAGCTGGCTTCTAAGGATGTTTTGTTTGTGTTGATCACTAGGCATAGTGACTTTTGATGTAATTCTTGTTTTACATACCCTAACTCTAGTCGGATTTGGGACATATGTATATACTTATATTCTAGACTCTATATTTATATACTTGTTCTATTCTGTCTAGTGTTTCCGGTGAGTTTTGTTGATGAGTGGAATGGCCAGCCGGGTCGTTACACTTTAGTGGTATCAGAGCAGGTCGAGTCTAGTGGACACTCTTTGGGGGTGGTTCCTTTAGGCTTTTGTTGTGTTAACTCTGTGATGTGTTTCCTTGTTGTGTCGCTTTCTGTGCAAATTGATGTGATGAATTACTGTGTTGATAGTTGTTGTTTGGGTGATTGGTAGGGTACTAAAGATGCTGTTATTTTTGTAGACGATGACTAGAACCAACGAACAGATAGCCCGTGCCATAGAAATAATGGCTATGGCTATGCAACAGCAGAATGCATATTTTGCTAGGATGGAAGCTGAGAGAGCTGCAGCTGGTGCAGCAAGACCTATAGGGTCACAAGAAAGTTGGGATCTTGCTGAGTTCCGGAAGTGTAATCCTCCACAATTTGCAGGAGATGCGGATCCAAAGGTAGCTGACCGCTGGATCCGTGGGTTGGAGAAGATCTTTTCTTTTCTGGGATGTCCTCCAGAGAGGAGGTTAGCCTATGCTGTATATATGCTTGTGGGAGAGGCCGAGCATTGGTGGGGAAGCGCCTATCAGATGCTTACTTCCAGAGGAGTTGCAGTTGACTGGGGGTGTTTCAGGACGGTATTCATGGAGAAGTACTTTTCGGAGAGTATAAGGCACGCCAAGGAGGCTGAGTTCCTGCGGTTACACCAGGGTGGGTTGACTGTATCGGAGTATGCGATGAGGTTCGAGCACTTGACTCGTTTTTACTCACAGACTATTTCGGAAGCTTGGAAGTGCAGAAAGTTTGCAGAGGGTCTGAAGTATGAGCTGAAGAAGGTGGTGGTGCCAATGGCCATCACCGAGTTTCCCGCCTTGGTAGAAAAGGCAAAGATTGTGGAGAGGTTAGAAGGGGGTAACCATGTGATTAGGGCTACCGAGAGACCAGCTGAGCCTAGGAGAGGAGGCGGAAGTCAGAGGAAGCCCTATGATAGGCCTCAATCACAGCAAGGGGGTCCCGTCAGTAGACAATCTTCCAGTACTGCTAGTGGAGGTAGACAGAGCGGAGGTGTCACTCTGAGATGTTACAGGTGTGGTGGATCCCACCTGATCAGGGATTGTCCCCACACAGAGAGCAGATGTTACAGATGCCAGCAGATGGGCCACTTATCGTTCAACTGTCCCACCAAGAGTAGACCGGAAGGGAGTACACCGAGGAGAGATGCGCAGAAAGCCGATACTCAGAGGAGTAGTGTGCAGAGGACTGAGACTCAGAGGGGTGACCGACCCACTACAGCTGGCAGGGTGTTCGCTTTGACTGGTGCTGAGGCTTCGACTTCTTCTGACCTAGTGAAGGGGAAGGGCAAGGCTGCTGGTAAGGATGTGATGCTTTTGTTTGATTCTGGGGCTTCCCATTCTTTTATTTCCAATGCTTGTGTTACTATGTTGGGAGTGCCTGTGTCTGATTTGGGGTTGAGACTGCTAGTGTCGACGCCCGCTTCTGCTTCAGTAGTCACTTCTGAGCTGTGTGCTGGCTGCCCCATTGTTGTGAATGGGAAGAAGTACAAGGAAAACTTGATTTGTTTGCCTTTGGTTGATATTGACATAATCTTGGGGATAGATTGGTTATCTGCCAATCGTATTCTTATAGATTGTGCCAATAGACGGTTGATCTTTCCGTAGGAGGGAGATGAGTTATTGATTTCAGCTGGTCAAGCTGAATCATGGTTGAGGGATGGAGCAGAAAGTTGCCTTCTGTTTGCTATGATGAGTGAGGAGACTGAGAGAATCATTTCTGAGATAGATGTGGTGAGAGACTTTGCTGAAGTATTCCCTGATGAGGTGCCTGGGTTACCTCCTGTAAGGGAGATAGAGTTTGGCATTGATCTGGTTCCAGGTGTGGGGCCAGTGTCGGTGGCTCCCTATAGGATGGCTCCTGCCGAGCTGAGTGAGTTGAAGGGTCAGTTGGAAGACTTATTGGAGAAGCAGTTGGTGCGGCCGAGCGTTTCACCGTGGGGTGCTCCTGTGTTGTTGGTGAAGAAGAAAGATGGGGGCAGTCGTCTTTGTGTGGATTACCGGCAGTTGAATAAGTTGACCATCAAGAACAAATATCCTCTTCCCCGGATAGATGACTTGATGGATCAGCTAAGAGGAGCATCGGTGTTTTCTAAGATCGATTTGAGGTCGGGGTATCACCAGATTAGGGTGAAGGAGGGTGACATACCGAAGACTGTTTTCAGGACTAGGTATGGTCACTATGAGTACATCGTGATGCCGTTTGGTGTGACCAACGCCCCTGCAGTGTTCATGGATTACATGAACAGGATCTTCCGGTCATTCTTGGATAAATTCGTGGTAGTGTTCATTGATGATATCTTGGTTTATTCGAGAACCCGGGAAGAGCATGGAGAGCATTTGAAGATGGTGCTGGAGGCTTTGAAGGCGAAGAAGCTGTATGCTAAGCTTTCAAAATGTGAGTTCTGGTTGGATGAAGTGAAGTTCTTGGGCCACGTGATTTCAGTTGAGGGGATTGCTGTTGATCCCGCAAAGGTGGAGTCTGTGTTGCAATGGGAGCGTCCGAGGACTGTCACTGATATTCGGAGCTTTGTGGGATTAGCAGGCTACTACCGTCGGTTCATTGAAGGATTCTCCAAGATAGTAGCACCTCTGACCCAGTTGACGAGGAAGGAGCAACCATTCGTTTGGACAGATGCCTATGAGCGGAGTTTTGAGGAGTTGAAGAGGAGGTTGACTACTTCTCCTGTGTTGGTGTTGCCGGATTCAGATGAGCCTTTTGATGTGTATTGTGATGCTTCTCACCAAGGTCTTGGGTGTGTACTGATGCAACATGGGAAGGTGGTGGCCTATGCTTCAAGGCAGCTGAAGAACCATGAGAGGAATTATCCCACTCATGACTTGGAATTGGCAGCTGTTGTTTTTGCCTTGAAGATATGGCGACACTATTTGTATGGTGCTCGGTTCAGCGTCTTTAGTGATCATAAGAGTCTGAAGTATCTGTTTGATCAGAAGGAGCTGAACATGAGGCAGAGACGGTGGATGGAGTTCCTGAAGGACTACGACTTCCAGTTGATGTATCATCCTGGCAAGGCCAATGTGGTGGCAGATGCGCTGAGTAGGAAGTCCCTCCACATGTCGAGTATGATGGTAAGAGAGCTGGTGCTGGTTGAGAAGTTCAGGGGTTTGAATCTCTGTGTGGAGTTAGCTCAGGATCACATTAGTTGTGGAGCAGTTACCATAACTAATGAATTCTTGAGGCAGGTTGGACTCAAACAGTTACAGGATGAGGAGTTGATGAGACTTCTTGGGTTATTGGGTACCGAGGAAGCTACTGGTTTTGAGCTAGGAGAAGATGGGATCTTGAGATTTAGAGGCAGGATTTGTCTGCCTCGGGATGCGGAACTGAAGAGAGCTGTATTGGATGAAGGCCACAAGAGTAGACTTAGCATACATCCGGGTATGACTAAGATGTACTAGGACCTCAGGAAGACTTTCTGGTGGCCTGGCATGAAGAGGGAAATAGCTTAGTATGTGGCGGCCTGTCTGACTTGTCAAAAAGCAAAGGTGGAGCATCAGAAGCCGAGTGGGTTGATGCAGCAGATGGAGATTCCGGAGTGGAAGTGGGACAACATTACCATGGATTTCATTGTTGGGTTGCCTAGGTCAGCTAGGAATAGTGATGCTATCTGGGTGATTGTAGATCAGTTGACCAAGTGCGCACACTTTTTGCCTGTTAACATCAAGTGGTCCTTGGAAAAGTTGACACAGTTGTATGTGAGGGAGATAGTGCGGTTGCACGGGGTGCCTTCTAGTATTATTTCAGACAGAGATCCGAGGTTCACTTCAAGGTTTTGGCAGGGTCTCCACCAGGCCCTAGGCACGAAGTTGAAGTTGAGCTCTTCTTATCATCCACAGACGGATGGTCAGTCAGAAAGGACAATTCAGTCCTTGGAGGATCTACTTAGGGCTTGTGTGTT